CCCCCCCCCCCCCCCCCCGCTCCTCTTCCTCTCCCCCTGCCTTCCCCCGCCCTCCTTCCCTGGCCAATTAAGAGCTTTGCATTAGAAAAGGGAGATCAAATAGCAAAGGCCAATCAATAGAGGAAGGGGGGAGGGGGGCTTAATGCTGCTTTTGGAGGCAGGCCAGATTTCAGGGGTGGGGGGGGGGGAACAGGGATGGAGGGGGGAAGATGAGTAGCCAGCAGAGATGGAGAAAGGGGTTTCCGGGTGGCTGCCTTTTAAGCCAGGATTCCCAGGCGTTTTAGATCAGGGGTCTCCATCCTTGGTGACTTTAAGCCTGGTGGACTTCAACTCCCAGAATTCCCCAGCCAGCACAGCTGGTTGGAGAATTCTGGGAGTTGAAGTCCACCAGTTTTAAAGTTGGCAAGTTTGCGGACCCCTCTGATAGATAGATATGTGATTAGATAGACAGATAGATATAGATAGATAGATAGATAGATAGATAGATAGATAGATAGATAGATAGATAGATATAGAGATAGAGATAGAGATAGAGATAGAGATAGATGATAGATAGATAGATATGGATAGATATAGGTATGGATAGATATAGATATAGATAGAGAGATGATAGATATGTAGATGATAAATAGATATGGATGGATGAATATATACTGCAGATAAATGATAGATAGATAGATAGATAGATAGATAGATAGATAGATAGATAGATAGATAGATAGATAGATAGAGATATGGATAGATAGATGATATGTAGATGATAGATAGATATGGATAGATAGATATGTGATTATAGATATAGATATTGATATAGATATAGATATACATATACGTGTGTGTGTGTGTGTGTGTGTGTGTTTTCTGAGGTTCTCGCGGGTATTTGTATGTGGATCTTTGGTTATTAGGGTTTTTCTCCCGCGTAAAATTGGAAGTATCTAGGCAACGTTTTGATGAAATCTCACCCCCACCCAATCAGAACACAGCCAAGCCCCCAAGCCCCCGTGAGTTTATCTTGTGTTGACTTTGCTTATCTGTGTTCCTGGCATCCTCCCAACTGTGTTGCGTTATTGCCGCGCCTTCACACCTGGAATTCCTTTTCCTGCCCTGCCAGACTAATGAGCTCATTTTGCCTTGATTGGACTTTAAGTTCCAGTTTTTGTTGACCATGTTTTGAACCTTGATTCTCTGCAGCCAAAGGCTGTTCCTGGGAGAGTTTTTCTCCAGCCAGAATGTAACCAGGACATTGGGGACAAAATCAGAGCTAATAAAGGGACTCCTACTGATTGTCTGACTGTGTTGTCTTTGTGCCACGCCCCTTTGGGTCATCACAGGTGTCCCAAGCGGAGCAGAGATATCCCTGGGAAGAAGGCATTTAAGGGAAGGGGCTCACAGCTTGCCCTTTTGCTGGATGGGGGTGCAAATGCCTTATTAGCTGCCTGCTGCACCTCTCTTACCTCCACCCCCCCCCCCCATTGGGCAACCGAAGCTGGCAGGAGTAGAGCAGCAGTGCCCAAGAAGAGATATGGGCAGGGGGCTGGACTAGATGACCTAGAAAGTCCCTTCCAACTCTCTCAATCTGTCAAAGTCTTGTCCCACCGGTGCCCACCTAGGAAGCCGAAACGAGCCTTCCCTTTCAGGGAGGGGGGGCAGATTCTCTTCAGGGTTATTCCCCTGAAGCCCCAACCCTGGAGCAGACCCGGGTTGGATCTTCACACAACATCCTGAACCCATTTGAAATGGTTACTTTTGAAGAAAATGTTTTCCTGCGGATTTCTGGCATCCAGAGCTATATATATGTATATATATTTAACGCCCACAGCTATATGCATTTCCTAAATCAATAAATCCTAGGTTTTTTTATTTTATTGGCAGTTTGCAGAGGATGCCAACTCAGCTTTTTTTTTTTTGCTTCGTGGGACGTTGCGTGGTTGCTGCGCACCCAGAAAACGGATTAATTTAGCCGGCCGATTTATAGGCCTCGTGTGAACGCAGCCCCCCTTATGCCTGCAATAACCCGGAATTAGAGGCAGACCTTCGCTGTGGCTGTCCCCATCCATCAAAGAGGAGCCCCTCACCCCCCCAATTCCAACGGCCCCAGCTGGGCTTCATTTTGGAAGTAGCCAAAGCCGGTGCTTTTCCAATGGCTTTATGGAGAACAGGTGGTTGGACAGGGGACAGTTCCATACAGCGCCTGGTACTTGTTTAATGGCCGCCTCGATCCTGGATTTATTTTTATAATGTTTATGTGGGGTTTATGGCCTTTTTATGCTCCGTGTGACATACTGGTGGTTGGGAAGAGCCCAGAGTCTGAGGTTGGTTTGGTTTTTATGAAACAGATGCATGCGCGCATCCAGGCATATTCAGAGACGAGGCGAGGGGAAAATAACCCTTCACGAAAAATGATAGCTGGCCAATTTCGCCGAGAAATTTTGGCTGTGAGGTGCAGCGTAAAAGGAAACAGAAGGGGAGCTTCCTTCGTCTCGCCTCTTGACTTTCAAACTCTTTTCGTTTGCAAAAAGAGAGGATGATTAAGGGACTGGAGGCTAAAACGTATGAAGAAGGGTTGCAGGAATTGGGTAGGTCTAGTTTGATGAGAAGAAGGAATAGGGACGACATGATAGAAGACTTCCAATAGCTCAGGGGCTGCCCCAAAGAAAGAGGCAGTCAAGCTATTCTCCAAGGCACCTGAAGGCAGGACAAGAAGCAACAGGTGGAAACTCATCAAGGAGAGAAGCAACCTAGAACTAGGGAGAAATTTCCAAGATCGCATGAAGAGTTAGTACCGCTTTACAAGGCCTTGCTAAGGCCACACTTGGAATACTGCATCCAAATTTGGTCACCGTGCTCTAAACAAGACACGGAGACTCTAGAAAGAGTTCAGAGAAGAGCAGCGAAGAGAGTTGGAGGCTAAAACATAAAAAAGGATGGTTGCTGCAGTGGGGGATGTCTACTCCAGAAAAGAGAAGGGCCGGAGGCAACAGGACAGCAGTCCTCCAATATCTAAAGGGCTGCCACAAAGAAGTGTGTGTGTGTGTGGGGGGGGGTGTCAATCCTATTCCCCAAAGCCCCTGAAGGCAGGACAAGAGGCAGCGGATGGAAACTCATCCAGGAGAGAAGCAACCTGGAATTAAGGAGACACTTCCTGACAATTAGAAGAATTAAATCAGTGGAACAGCTTTGCCTTCAGAAATGATGGGTGCTCCATCACTGGAAGTTTTTAAGAAGAGATTGGATAACCATTTAGGTTTCCTGCCTAGGAAGGGGGTTGGACTAGAAGACCTCCAAGGTCCCTTCCAACTATTCTATTCTATTCTATTCTATTCTATTCTATTCTATTCTATTCTATTCTATTCTATTCTTATCCTATTCTTATTGTATCCTATCCTATCCTATCCTATCCTATCCTATCCTATCCTATCCTATCCTATCCTACTCTACTCTACTCTACTCTACTCTACTCTACTCTACTCTACTCTACTATACTCTACTCTACTATACTCTATTCTATTCTTATCCTATCCTATCCTATCCTATCCTATCCTATCCTATCCTATCCTATCCTACTCTACTCTACTCTACTCTACTCTACTCTACTCTACTCTACTCTACTCTACTCTATTCTATTCTATTCTATTCTATTCTATTCTATTCTATTCTATTCTATTCTATTCTATTCCATTCCATTCTCTACTCTACTCTACTCTATTCTTATCCTACCCTATTCTTATTCTATTCTATTATCATTTCATTTTCTATTCTCTCCTCTCCTCTCCTCTCCTCTCCTCTGCCAAGCCCAGATCTTTCAGGACGGCAGAGGAAGCTGGGTAGCACCCCTCGTTTACGTATTTATACCAAAACCCTGAACGCCATTCCCCTTCCGAATAATATTTATTGAGCGGCTTGCGAACTAAAAGCATGGATCTCAAAAGGAGATCCATACATCACAACGGGGAAATGTAAACATCACAAGGATTTATTTATTTTTTGGCTGTGGAGGTCTGAAATGGGGCAGTGAAAGGGGATCTTTGCTTTGTGCCCCAAAGGCAGGAGATTGGGGGAGCAAGTTTTCCCCCCCAGGGGGGGTGTCCCCAGAAGAGAAGAGTCTCATTCAAGTCTATGACTTGCCTACATCAAGTCATTCCTTGTATAGAGGAGGAAACAGCTCTAGTTTGGCACAGTCTGAGGCAAGTGCAAACTCCCATGACTAATGTTCCCATCTGTGTGAGCTTCAAAAAAAGAACGGAGAGAATAGATTGAATCTGTAGATATGTGTGGTTTTTAAAAAAGCTAGTCATTACCAATGTCTTTCTAGAAACAAACAAACAGAAACCCCACAAAGAGCTTCTATCTCCGTCGTCATCTCTGTCTCCATCACCATCACTATTTCCATTTCATCCCCATCTCCATCTCTTTCTCCATCTCATCACTATATCCGTCAACCTCTCCTTCTCCATCACCATCTCCATCTCCAACTCCTTTTCCTTCTCCATTACCACAACTTTCTCTATCACCATGGCCGTCAACCTCTCCTTCTCCATCTCCGTCTCCGTCTCCATCACCATCTCCCTTCCATCACTGTCTCCATCGCCATCTCCATCTCTTTCTCCAACTCATCACCATTTCCACCATTGCCTCCATCACCACCACAGATCTCAGCTTTTCTCGGTCTCTTTTTAAATAATCTTATTGGAGTTTTTCATAAACACAGTATAAACTGATACGAACTAAACCACAACAAAAGAAATAAAATTTCAGAACGGAAAAAAAAGTAGAAAACAGAAATAAAAAGGCAATGAAGGGAATAATAAAGAAATGGGTTCCAACCTCCAACACATTAAACACAAGCTAATACTGTATAATAAGTTTTCATCCTCTTTTAAAGTTACAAAGCAAAAAAACCCCACCCCTCTTCTATTCATAGCCTAATCTTTATTTCTGTGCAATGCAGAATCATCATCTTTTCAGTCCCGGTTCTGCAAAAAAAAAAATCTATTCAACATTACCAGAAATAGCAAAAAATAAAAATAAAAAATCATCCCTGGTCAAATAGGCCAACTTTATATTCCTTCCTTTTGCTTTGCAATCTCGACCTTTAAATCATCCCAAAGGCATTGCAAGTTTTGATCTTTCACTGCTCTCTGGCATTCAAAAAGAAGAGTTTTCAAAACTTTCACTAGGCTGCCTTGTAAATCCCATGGAATGGCATTAGCCAAAATGTCTCATCATAGCTGTTCCATGTCCAGATTCTTTTCCTAATTTATCTCTTGTATTCCCACTTTACTAATTTCAATTTTGTTCTCTTCCGCACCTTCACACTCTGTAAGGTTTGCGTTAGGTAAAAGGTATTTTTTAATTCCACCCCCTCATCTTCTAAAAGTTTACCCAAGTTTGCAAAAGATCACATGACCAGATTAACATTGGAAATCTAAGAAATAGAAAACTCTGAACATTACATGGCATGGGCCTTGTTTTACCAATGGTTAGAAAATAAAAGGGATTAGATGTATTTATAAAGCAATAAGAGAAACTAGCATCATAAATGTATTATTGGATATTACTTATATATATGAATGTGATTACTGTTATATTGATAAGAAGAATATTATTAGTAATTGTTAAGCACATGAAATATATACCTAATCTCCTTCTCTCATTTCTGTCTGTCTGTCTGTCTGTCTGTTTGTCTGTCTGTGTCTGTCTGTCTGTCTGTCTGTCTATCTATCTATCTATCTATCTATCTATCTATCTATCTATCTATCTATCCTCTATATATCCTCTCTCTTTCTCTCTCTCTCTCTCACACACACATGCATATCTATTTATCCATCCATATATCCCTATAATCTCTCTCTATCGTGTCCCTTTCTCTCTCTCTCTCTTTCTCTCTTATAATTATCTCTATCGTCTCTCTCTCTCTCTTCCATAGATATATAGATGATAGATAGACAGATAGATATAGACAGATAGATGTCTATATTATCTCCCTCATCTATCTTTCTATCATGTCTTTATCTTTCATATAGAGAGAGAGATAGAAAGATGTGTGTGTGTGTGTTTATATATATACACCCACCCACCATTTCTCTCTCTTATCTATCTCGATTCTGTTCCTTTCTATCTCTCTGTCTCTCTTCTTCTTCTATCATCTCTCTCTCTTTCGCGTAGAGATAGATAGATTTCTATCATCTCTTTCTCTGTCTTTCACACACAGACCTGCAGGTGTCCGGCAGTGACCAGAAGACACCAAATGGTATTGTGTGTGTGTGTGTGTGGGTGGCAGCCCAGCCCCCTCCCTTTGCAAAGGGTCAGAGCAGCCCCGGGGCAACGCAGCCCCTCCCCTGCCCAGGGACACTTCAGCCTCAAGGGCACTTCTGTCGGATGAGGGCCCTTCCCAAAAGGCTCTCAAACCTGGACATGCCTCAAGGGCTGGCAGGCCTCCAGGGACTCCCTGGCACGGGGACAGCAGCAGCAGCAGCAGGGAGCTGCCCTGGGAGAGGGCATGGCGGCCTGGCCCTTGCTAGCAAGGCCATAAGAGAGAAAAGTGGGGAGGGGTTATCTCTTTATTTACTTATATCCTGCCTTTGTTATATTTATACAAGTAACTCAAGGCGGCAAATCTGTCCCACACACCTTCCCCCTCCCGTTTTACCCACAACAACAACCCTGTGAGGTGGGCTAGGCTGACAGAAGCAGGTTGGACCAAGGTCTAGTTCTAATATCTTAGGCATGAAAGACAGCTGGGTGATTCTGGGCCAATCACCAGGAGATGGCGAGTTCTAGTCCTGCTTTCAGTATGAAAGCGGCCTGAATGACTTTGGGCCAATTCCAAAGAGATGGTGAGTTCTAGTCCTGCCTTAGGCATCAAAGCCAGCTGGGTGACTGTGGGCCAATCACCAGGAGACGGTGAGTTCTAGTCCCACCTTAGCCGTGAAAACTGGCTATCTGGTGACCCAGAATCCCCGACAAGTGACAGAGATAGAGGGTTCACCCCAAAGCTTTGCAGGATGCACTTATGGGGAGAGGCCTCCAAACATCTCCCGCCCCCTCCCCTCTTTTTCTCCCCCCGTCTGCTTTCCAGAAGCCCCCCCTCTGTGTCCTGGTGATGTTCTGCAACTAGGACCGCCACGCACGAGGCTCTCATCCTGCTCAACGTTGACTGGATCTCAGCAGGGTTAAATAAAGGAAGGTCGAATCGAGGTGCTTTTGCCTCGACTGCCCAGCCATTAAGACAAGGGAGGGTCCCCTGGGCACCATACGGGCAATTTGCGTCATAGCTTCGGAAGGAGAAGGGTGGAGGGTTTAATCTGGGGCCCCGTGTGGCTTGTTTTAAGGCACTCGGGGTGGCCGCCGTAAAAGGGGAAAGCGCCCTGGCTGGCAGCTCTGCCGGGCTCCGACTGTGGACTTAAATATTCCATCTGGTCCCCAGGAGGGGAGCAATTTCTCCCTTATCCAGCTATCATTAGACACGTCTATGAATATTGATTCCTACTCTGCGTTTTGACTCATGCTCTCCTCGCAGAGCGTCCTTGCTGGCTTGAAGGTTAAACTGTATATTTAAGAATTCATACACAGCAAAGGAACTTGTACGTCCAATCCTTGATTCGTCCCCATTTTAGCAGTGAAATGAGACAAGTTGTGAGCCAAGCCACATCCGTAGCTCTGGGGACAATATATATATATATATCTCACCCAGTGCTTCTTAACCTTGGCAATCTGTGGACTTCAATTCCCAGGATTTCCCAGCCAGCAAAGCTGGGGAATTTGCTCAGACCATAGTTTGAAGCCGCTGGATGCAAAAGGCAGATGGAAAGATTGGGGCTTCATATTATAAAAATACTACCCTGTTTCCCCGAAAGTACGACCTACCCTGAAAGTAAGTGCTAGCTTGATTTTTACACGCTCTCGCTCAATATAAGCCCTACCCCCCAAAATAAGCCTTAATTAAGATCTCACTCACTCCAGAGTGGCCGGGTGAAAATTAAGCTAGGGTGGGGACGGAGGGGTGAAGCTGCCCTACTACTTACCTTTGGGTAGTTGTAGCCAGGCCTGGCACATCCTGACACCTGCCTCGCCGGCCCATTTCTTCTCCAGCCAGCAAGGCTTTCCTGGAGGCCTCTGTAGCTGATGACAAAGCTCTGGATCGATCCAGAGCCCTCTTATCTGCTGCAGAGGCCTTCGGGAAAGCCTTGCTAGCTGCAGAAGAAGAAGTTCCTGAAGGCCTCTGACAGCGAAAAGGAGACCAGGGGGCGATGCACACAAGTGAGGTCAGTGAGTGGATGACACCCCCCCCACGACAAAATAAGACCTGGTGCCTTTTTTTGGTGGCAAAAAAAATATAAGACCGGGTCTTATTTTCAGAGAAACAAAATAGTGGTTAAGGAAAGTAACAGGGAAATATGGATGCCGGCAGAAAGATTGCTGGAATTAAGGCACAAACACCTGGGCTACTTTGGAGAAAGTTTCCAGCTAGGGACGTGCGACACTCTGAATTGAAAAGACAAAGGTTGCTTCAGAGGGAATCTGATGGCCCGTAACACATCTGCCAACACCTGCTTCAAGCAGCTGCTGCAGCGGAAGGAATGGCAGAAACCGGGGGCAAAGTTGAATGAGGAACCAGCCCCTCGCATCCCTACATAGTCAGTAAGTCCAACCTCCCCTGCATTCTGGTGACCGATCTCACTTCAAGCAGGTGCTGTGAGTTGAGAGGATTCCTGCGCCTAGGCTCTTCAGCAATACATCAGTTTAATTGGATCTGGTCTTTCATGCCTGACAACATCCATCCATCCATCCATCCATCCACGCTCTGCTGATTGGCCTGGGATCCCAAGGGGATTGTCCCATTCTGGTTACTGGATCAAAGGGAAGATAGCAGCTCCACCCCTTTGCATTCTGACTATTAACTTCCCAATTTCCGTTAATTTTTTAAATATTGTTCATAATTTGTATTTTTGTTTTTACAATGTTGTAAACTGACAGTGGGATGGGCAGGATACAAATTAGATAGATAGATAGATAGATAGATAGATAGATAGATAGATAGATAGAT